AGCATTCCTAGTAAAGAAAGAAATAATACTCAAGGGAATGACATGTGGTCTTAAATAGAAAAAGCATTGCACCATAGCTGAAAAGCATTCCTAGTGAAGAAAGAAATAATATTCAAGGGATGACACATGGTCTGAAATGAGAAAACATGATCTGAACCCAGATTGAGTGTGCATCTTATTCATATTATCATTTTGTCTTGCTCTTTTCAGGTATTGCACGCAGTATTAGCCAATCAAGTCTCGAAGCCAACTGTTATTCCCCTCATGACGCACTTGAAGGACTAGAGACATCGAGCGTGGTTAGTTTTGCCAGTACGGCCGCCACCCATCATGACCTGGACACACGCATCGACATGATGCAGTCACTAATCTCGTTGCTAGGCACCCATGATAAAGATGACATGTCACGCACTCTCTTGGCTATGTCTAATAGCAGAGACTCGTGTGCAGCCATGCGGCAATCTGGTTGCCTGCCGTTACTTATTGATCTAATACATGGACATGATAATCCAATGGCAAGGCGTGACTGTAGAGCACGCGCTGGTCTTGCGTTACACAACATTGTGTATTCCAACCCTGAGGACCGCAGAGGACGACGGGAGATCCGTGTACTTAGGCTACTAGAAATCGCAAGAGCCCACTGTGATGCTATCTTGTACAGCAATCTTCCACCTCACCCATGCGCAGAACGATGGTACCCGCCCCTGAGAGATTATGGTCCTGGACCAGCAGTGGCTGCCTTGATGAAGCTCTCGTTCGAAGAGGAGCATCRCAACGCTATCTGTGAACTTGGTGGCSTTCAAGCGATTGCAGAACTCGTGGAAATCGACAATAAAGTAAATGCTGAATGCTACGACTCCTACAGCATTGGGCTACGAAAATACGCTGGGATGACGTTGACAAATCTCACTTTTGGAAACACGAAAAACAAGACGATTCTGTGTAAAATGGAGAAGGCTGTCAAGGCTCTCATTGCTCAGCTCAGGACGCCAAATGAAGAAGAACTGGTTCAAGTGTCAGCGAGTGTGCTCCGTAACCTCTCCTGGCGTGCTGATGACATATCCCGTGAATCATTGCGTAAGGTTGGTGCTGTGAAAGCCTTGACCGAAGCGGCCCAGAAGGTCCATTCTGAGCCCGCACTCAGGACCCTACTCAGCGGTCTATGGAATCTCTCGGCTCATTGCCCTGAAAATAAGACTGAACTTTGCAGTGTTCCAGGGGCTCTGAAGTTCATCGTTAAGAGTCTAAACTACTGCAGCCCGTCAGGTAATATCTCAGTGGTCGAAAGCAGTGGTGGAATCCTCAGGAACATTTCCTCACATATCGCTGTAAGAGAAGAATATCGTCAAGTCCTCCGCGAAAACGGCTGCTTTCATACCCTACTAAGCCATCTCAGGTCCCCAAGTCTACGGGTCGTTAGTAACGCCTGTGGAGCCCTGTGGAATCTCTCTGCTCGGTGTATCGAAGATCAGGAGTTGCTATGGGAACTTGGAGCGGTGTCTTTACTCAAGTCGTTAGTGACTTCAAAGCACAAGGCTATTGCAACAGCGTCGTCGGCTGCTCTTCGTAACTTAATGACTGTCAAGCCTGCCAGTTCTAATGGTACAGATAGTGAGTCTGTTTCATCACGCAATGCACGACGGTATCGTAGTATGCCACCAAGAAGTAGACAAGGTGATGCCCAAGCCAAACTGAGAAGTTCTTCAAGAGGTATTCATTCCCCGGGTGGAACCTCACCGGGTGCTCATTCATGTCATTCATCGCCTCATTCTCAGACACCCACCTTGAAGTCCCCGAAAACACAGTCACCCAAGGTTCAGTCTCCTAGACCCCAGTCTCCTGTCCATCTAAACCAGAGACCACCCCAGGCCCCTCGCCATGGCAACAAAGAACCAATCAAGAAGAAACACGAGGGATCTGCATTATCATTAGACCACATGGGAAAAAGCCATAGGAGTAAAGACAGGCATGGAGACTCTAGCCCACCCTTGACTCGCAGCCGGTCAGATATTGGAGCTGTGAACTATGAACGCAAGCGAAAAGAAAAGACTGGTGCTATGGACTCAAGTAGTGTTGGTAGTGGAACATCGATGGAAGGCCGTCATTGTCATCTTGGGCGCTGGAGCGGAAGCAACGATTCCTTAGCACGTCATCGCCGGACCAAGAACACCGGTCATCAACAGAACAAGACAGACCGAGCAGCTGAAGTTGGCGCTACTAAAGGTGGACAACACTCCAGATCGTCCAGTGATGGCTGTGCCGTCATTCAACTTCTTACTGACAGCTACCCACTACAGGTCACCGCCAAGCTGAACACCACAGGAAACCCAACAATTGAAGGCTTCAGTTCTCGACCAAGACAAGTAAACACTGTTTCTAGTCGACCGAGTGGTAGTCATAGTGACAGCGCATCAGTTGTTTCCCCAGCAACGGCTCGCAGGCTCAACCAATGGGCTGAAGAACAAGCTATAGAGAGCATTGAGATGTCACAGCTTTATATATGTGAGCAAGATGAGAAACGTGTAGCCCCAAACCCCCAGGTTGCTGCTAGCCGTGAGAGCATGGGCTCTAATACTTCACGTCAGAGGAGGAAACAGATTCAAAGGTTTCGTTCATTCAGAGACTCGGACAGTGAGCGAGAAGGTGATATAGACTCGGATGATGAACGAACTGTCTTTGGAAACAAAGGAGGGTTTGGAAATGCATGGGTTAACAAGACCGGAAGTAAAACTTCTAGAACCGGAAGTAATGCGCAGAGTTCTAAAAGACATTCACAGAGACCAGACGTTACCGGAAGTAGAAATCCACAATGTTCTTGTAAGAATGTTTCTAATATCTGGATAAAGCGAGGGAAGTCCAAAGGAAAAGGCGCCTGCGAACACTGCATGAAGGAAAATCAGGAATCGCGTGGAGGGACTGCGGATTGCAGACCTGTCGTTAAGAGTCGCCGTGACTCTAGTGATTCTCCTCTCTCCAGTCCCAATGCAATGAGAGGTTTCATGGCTAACACTGGCTGTGAAGACCTGGACAATGATCCTAGTAAACGCGGGGTCAAAGTTACGTCATTATAATAGTCACCAGGCTCTGAACAAATACACCATCAACTTTGAAAAGGACTAGGTTCTAGTGAGCAACAAATATATTTTTTAATTTAATTGTTTCTATTCTGATTGGTTGGGTTATCGTAATGTTAATTGGTCAATTATCCTTATTGATTCGTAGTGAACGGTGATGTCTTCGTTAGCTAATCCGGAAATCAATATAACCGGAAGTAAATCGACCCTCTCCTTATATGTCTGTGTAGTATCATTTCCGGTTCATGTCAAAGAGCATTTGTAATTATTGTGGTATATCTACTTTCTGTTAAGAGGAATACTGAAATATGGCTTTTACAAATTTAAAAGTCTATAAACATCTAATAAAATAATTTCAAAAGTGCTGAAAAAGTTGTTTATTTTTTTCTTTAAGAAAGCTTTTCAAATAAGCCTTTTCAGAATTTAAGAATTGATTCCACTGCGCATGTGGTTTTATCCCGAATTTCTCACCTTCCTTTGTCTAAACCTTCTTTTGTTCTTAATTAAACAAAAGAAGTTGAGAAATTCGGGTTAAAATCGCATGCGCAGTGGAATCGATTCTTAAACTGAAAATTTATGTCATTTCATTTAATCATTCATTTATATGTTCTGCTAATCTATTGACCATGGATAGTTTCTCTTTTTGTGGCTGGTGGGGATTGGTCCTTTAACATTCACTGCCTTTTGAGATCCTATAGTTGATGATGGTTGTGGTTACTTAAGAAATAAAACTACTTTTTACTATTTCCATTCAGTAATACAAGCTGCAGCAGGTTACGAAAGCATGAAATGAGTGTAAAGAGAGCAGAAGGTGTTGCTTGCTTCTCAATTCAAGTGCTTTTGATGCTTTCTAAGTGCTGTATTACTGCATGGAGCAAGGATAAAGCTGTTTAATCCAATCTCTGAGGATCTCTAGATAATCTTCATAGTTCTTGTAGAGAACAATGAGGAAAGATATGGTTAAATAGAAAACTGAGTCAAGTTCACATTGCAATGCATTGTGGGAATGTTAGGGGACTAAATAGGGACTGAATAGGGGACTAACATCTATTGGCCATYTAGATTACTACTGTACTAGATTTGTACTACTACTGACCACTGATAGAGCATCTCTTCGCAAAGCAGGTTTTCCATCGTTCTTCTAACACTTCTCTCGTGTCCTACCAATCCTTGCTTGATACTGCATACAGCATACGTGTGTGTTTTCTATTTCTTCAATACAGTACATTTGTAAAATCAATTGGTTAATGATTGATGTGTCTAGTTCATTATTTGCAGTGCAGAGCGACCAGGATATAATCGTAATGCTAATTTACTGACCATTGATGGTCCATCTCTTAATGAATGCATTGGATTAGCAATAAATGCATGCATGTCCATTATTAGACTAGAAAGCATGGTGTATTGCTTGTTATGTCGAAGAGCTTCCAGTGTAGCTAAAGCTAATTCTGCTTCGTTCGTCGATGAAATGACTCTGCCACTTTCGTTACGTTGTTTGCTCTAAAATGAAAAATAAATGTCGAAGGCTGAATATCAAATAGTTCCTTGTTGGTTGTCGTTACATTCATAATAATTTGTTTTATCAACCATAGATTTAATAAATATGATCATATTAAATCTATGGTTGCTAAAACAAATTATTATGAGTGTTGAATAAGATTAAGAAAGGCACATTATTACTAAGTGCGCATTTCAATCGACAAAATAAGACTTTTTGATAAACGTCCGTCACCTTGCATCTTAATTAAGCGCACGACAGCTTCAATTGACGCAACGGTGCATGCGCAGTCTAGGGGAAATCAACGCATGCGCAATTAATAATATTCCTATTTGGTTTTGAAGAGCATGCGCAGTAGATACAAACCTTGCTTGGCTCTTGAACGCATGCGCAGTGAATACTAACCCTGCTTGGTTCTCAAACGCATGCGCAGTAAACACTAACCCTGCTTGGTTCTCAAACGCATGCGCAGTAAATACTAACCCTGCTTGGTTCTCGAACGCATGCGTAGTAAATACTAACCCTGCTTGGTTCTCGAACATATCCCGGTGCTTTGGGGTCCAGTCTCAACAGAGCGTTGGAGGGAAGCTGGGCAAGAATGAAGGCTTCAAGTAATCGAGCAAAAAATCTGAAACTGTATTAAAGTCAGAGAAAATAATCGTTGTGAATAAACGGCGACAACGTGTCGGGGCAGCAACCTCGCTCGTGCCGTGCCTCCAAAGAGATCAAATTGCATCTCGCCCCAAATTACTTCCCACAATCCTATGCAACACGCAGTCGTTACCAGTCTCCCTCCTTTAAACAACAGAAAGTAAGAAAATGAAAGCGGAGAAAAAGGGAAAAGGTAGAGTAACCTACTTGACGGAGTAAGAAGACTTCTTGCCAAAGCCTATTGCACCCAATAGTCCTGATGAATCTTTATCTTCTCCTAACTGATGTAAGTTCGTTGCTAAGAACGACAGTTGCTTGGCAACTTCATTGAGTGGAGATCCAGAGAAATCTGCTTGTCGAATGCAGAGCTGTAGGATCTTATGCCAGAAGAGAGTTATTTTATATTCATTCTCTTTCCTGTGGTAAAAAAAGAAAAAAGAAAAGCTCTGAATTTTTTTCCATAGCGGTCTAAGTTGGGTTACCCTGGTATTTCTAGAGCCTTTCGCTTTTTGTCGCAGGTCAAAAGGAATGCGGGCTCAGAGAATGGGAATGACCAATCAGCTTACTTGATTTTCAAACGCCCGCACCAGTTAACGAGGTCTGATAGCACTGCCATTTCTTGGACTGCAGTTTGACATTGAGACAACCTCAAAAGTACATATGTGTAGAGAGTCAACATGGATGACTGGTGAAGACACTCTAAAAGAAGAAATACACCGTGAGATCATAGGCATCGTTTGATGCTATTTTTAGTTCGGATTTATTTTTGGAAAATAACCTGATTGGTTCAAAATCGCTTCAGGGAGTCGAATAGGCTTTTCAGTCCAAACAAAAAAAACAAAAAACAAAAAACAAAAAAAAAAATCACTATTATTTAAGTGTGTAGTCGTTCTAGCGCTTTCGCACTAATTGGGGACACTTTTCACTAACACGCACTACCACTACATTTAATATTCTATGCACACAACGCTCAACTCACATGTTGATTTTTACGGAGGGAGGAAACCAGAGAACCCGGAGAAAACCCTCATAGCATAGGAGAGAACAACACATCAAAGAAACTCAATTAACATGTGGCGACCGCAGGGCGGGAACCAGCGACCCGACCCGTTGGACTCACAGCGATGAAAGACGACAAAAAAAAAACATGAGTGATTATTAAAAATAGCATCAGAGGGCCGATGCATGATGGGCCACCGGGAGGGATTCCTTCCCTACCCCTCCCCCTACGGTAAAATATTGAGTAAATCGGTTTATGCTACCAACTTACCATTAATAAAAGAATCTTGTGAAAGCTCAGGAACAGAAAAACCAGGAACGATTTGGCTCCAGCCCACGTCCGCGCGTGTCCCAGTCCCCTCGGTCTGCGGGGAATGCCTGGCAAAAACTTCCTCGATTCCAGTCTCCAGTACCGACACCATAAAACCGATATTGGCGAGCGCACGACAAGAGGCTGGTATCGAAGCTAGGATGAACATTAATGATGTCGTTGATCTCAAGTAACTGAGAATAAAGTTGAGTACATGCGATGTCACGTGGTTCACAGGTGAACAATTATTTAGAAGGTTTAACGTCTCGGATAGCAGAAGACAGACCTCGGATTCTGTGCTGGAAGGATCGACGCCTGAAATCATGAGAAAACTCTTATTTTACAATAACTTACAAATTTCTTTCGTGCTGATTGGTTATTTTTTATCATCAATAAGAGGACAGACAGATAAAGCTGACGTCAACGAGCGCGCGCTCTTTCCGTTGGCTGTTGTGATCGCTAAAAATGAGAAGATTTTATCCTTTTTGTTATTGTAAAAAACAAATAGACATCAGTTTTTTTATGTGTCTGTCCTCTTATTGGCGATAAATTTCGTCGTCACATTGTCAAAGTAGTATGCGGATCCACACTAATTTGACAATGTGATGCTTATCTAAATCTCGTACCAAGTCCCCCGCGGGTTCTGTTTGGTTTGCGGTTGCACTGGTCGCCTGTTCCTTTGTACTGATCAGTGGTAACGCGGGCTCTTAGTAAAAAAGAAAAATTGTGTTCACTCACCTGAGCCTGCGACACTTTCAATGTCAGTGAGCATGAACATAACCACGGGAGGATAGAGGTCTGGAGCGAGGTTCGGATTGGACGAGCACTTAACCAATAGATTGACGATACCACTTATGTAGCACGCTCGTTTAGGAATAGCGTCCTGTTATGGATATTGAAACAGAAGTTTAGATGAGAGGAAAAAAAATCATAGTGCGTGATATCAGGATCCATCCAATCAGAGAGCTGGGTTAATACCGTCACAGTCACGGTCACACTGTCACGACACGCACTACGTCACGTTCAGACTTTGCATAGCATGTCTATTTGATCTAAAAATAGAATCATTGGATGAGAACCTTGTTTCCGTGTCAAGGCCTGGTCGCTTTTCAAAATGGCTGCCACAGAGGGTTCTGAGATCAAAAAAAATTACCAGTTTTGTTTCCTGCATGGTTCCTGATTCTGTGACTAAGATTCCTGACGCGGCTCTTATTAATCTAGACAGAGGAAAACAAGATTATGACACCTGTGCAATAACCAGCATTAGTGCCTAGATACCCGTGCAATTACCAGCAATATGGTCTAGATACCTATGCAATTACCAGCAATCGGGCCTAGATACCCGTGCAATTACCAGCGATAGGGCCTAGATAGCAGTGCAATTACCAGCAATAGGGCCTAGATACCCGTGCAATTACCAGCAATAGGGCCTAGATACCCGTGCAATTACCAGCAATAGGGCCTAGATACCCGTGTAATTACCAGCGATAGGGCCTAGATAGCAGTGCAATTACCAGCAATAGGGCCTAGATACCCGTGCAATGATCAGCAATAGGGCCTAGATACCCGTGTAATTACCAGCAATAGGGCCTAGATACCCGTGCAATTACCAGCAATAGGGCCTAGATACCCGTGTAATTACCAGCAATAGGGTCCAGATATTCCATTACCTGACTGCATGCCATATTGTAGAATTCCGCTGTAATATCAGTTCTGCATTACAATGTTCAACTTGCCAAGAAACTATTTGATCAAATGACCTGCAACAGGAAAACCGCGGATAAGCATTTGCATCTCCTAATATTCAAGGTACCAGGACCCAGCGTTTGCCACGCAAACCACAGGACCTTGCGGTTACTTGGTCCCAGGACCTCACGTCCTCTAGTTCCCAGGACCTTGCATATTTTTTCTCAGGACCTCACGTCTTAATTCTTCTAGGTCCAGGATCTCGCGACTCTTAGTTCTTACCTGCATTAGCGTTAAAAAGCGAGCATGTAAGAAAAAAATCGATAGAGTACCTGGTATCGATGTGCTCCCAAGGAAAGTAATGCGCTTTTTCCAGAAATGCCGGCAGCTCTGAACCCTGTGAACAGAAGAATCAGTTTAGCAACAGTTCAGTCCCCACACAAAAAATATACCCACCACGAGACTGACCTGTACTTCCACGATGCTCCTCTCATTGGTCAACATGATGAGCAGATGAAACAAAGACGTCAAAAATCTACTCAGGTTCCGAGGGGATTGGCTTTCGCTATGAAACGAAAGGAATAGAAAAATATTGAGCTTGAGATACCTGTGGTATATGTTTGAAAAACGGAGCGTGTATTTCCTGTGGAATTCGGTTTACAAAAGAACCTGGGGTTGGTGGTTCGTATCCTATTGGAAAAAAGGACAAAAGACGTGGCCACCATGTAAATGTGAATGGGGTTAATAAATTGGGTTACTTGTGTATGGATTGAAATAGACTGGGATGCATGCGGTGAACACCGGTTAATAAATTGGGTTTCCTGTGGTATGGATTGTAATGTACGGATAGATGGATATTTTGGATCTTACCAGTATGCTGCGATGACGTTACTCCATTCAATAAGAGGGAAGACACATCCTAAGAACTGGAAGCTCGTCTTACAGGTCTTGTGGAGCTATAGACACGAGAAAATATCAAATAAGCATCGCAGAAAAGAAAATTCTATCCGAGAAAATACAGAAAAAAACATAGAATAGAGAATGAGAGGGAAGCACCAGAAATTAAATACGACTTCAAATAAAAAAAACAAAAGAAAAAAAAGAAAAAAGAAAAAGAAAAGGATAAATGAGAAAACAAAATGTAGTGAATGAATGAAATTCAATGGTGTCTCCACAGTGTGGCTTTGGTTATGAGAGGAATTAAAATAAAACACGATATATAGACCCCTTGCAGCACGTCAGAATGCAGCTCAATTTGGAGGACATAATAGGTTTCCAATTCTCAAGAGATTGAAATTCTTTGTTTTGTCCTCCTTTTGAGCTCCTTTGAAGTCACATGCACGGGGACACTTACAAGGATGGGTTTTCACTATCACGTGATCACTGCATGCTATATAAGTTCCAAATGTCGATATTATCTCACGATATCCTTATATGGCAACCACAATATTTTGGTGCAATCACATGACAAGCTAATAGCGTTATTAGGTATTAGGTAATAGATTCACCACTTTCTATACATCGGTTCACTGGTCAAACCAAGCTAGTGCCCGAGGTTACCAGCTTCACATTTGAATCATCCTCAAAGTGACCTTGAAGCTTTGTGTTGGACAAGTAAACCAATGTATAGAGAGTGGTAAATATGGAAGAGAAACGTATGAATACAGACGTTAAGAGAAGTAATGGATCCGTCAACTGCGAGTGCGTCTGCTGTAGATTGGTCATGTTGGAAAAGCTGTGAGAAATAAGATACCCAGAAATAGACCTTAACAGAAGAAGAGAGTACAAGAAACTACTAGGAAGGGAGAGGTGGGGAGAAAATCTAAATGATCTTAAATGAAGAAGAGAGTACAAGACACCACTAAGAAGGGAGGGGTGGGGAGAAAATGTAAACGATCTTAAATGATGATGAGAGTACAAGACACCACTAAGCAGGGAGGGGTGGGGAGAAAATGTTAATGATCTTAAATGAACTAGAAGAAAGTACAAGACACTACTAAGCAGGGAGGGGTGGGGAGAAAATGTTAATGATTTAAATGAATAAGAGAGTACAAGACACTACTAGGAAGGGAGGGGTGGGGAGACAAACTAAGTAAGGTGGTAGAATAAGAGTTACATTACAACGAAGTATCATCATAATGCAGATGAGGTATCTTGAGACATTGCAATGCATAGTGTTAAATATATAACTTCCTTCCAATAAAGGATTGGTCATTGATTAGCGTGCTTCCGCTGCTTAAGCACTCAAGAAGCTAGAGTCTCACTTGGTGCAGTCTTTGTTAATCAAGTAAAATTCAAATTTTTTTAACGAAATCTTTATTACATTGCGCACGCTACTCAATCACGTCAGCGTGCACCATCAATTTTTGGATGCAGCTACGCGCACGCTAAATAACCAATCAGAGCGCGCGTTATATGGTGGCTATGTTATAATGTATGACATTTTACCTCTAGCATGAGATCAATGTTGGATGGTGTCGGGTAGAAGTGGTTCCAAGGAAGACAGAAAAACTTCGAGTGATAAACACGACGAACATAATCCGGGATACCGGGCTTGACTAGTGACGTCACGAAGAATGACCAGAACAGGTTCATCATGCTGGAACCGCTGTGATCACCTAAAGGATGATGGACTATTAGAAGGGTACTGAGTGTCGTAACATTGAAATGGCTTCCCATAAGAATGGTTATTGTATGAGTGGGAAACATACGGTACTGACTTACAACACGTACACGGTACGACATGCCGTAACATTGAATTGGCTTCCCATAGGAATGGTTATCGTATGAGTGGGAAACATACGGTACTGACTTACAGTAGGCACACAGAACGACATGCCGTAACATTGAAATGGCTTCCCATAGAAATGGTTATCGTATGAGTGGAAAACATACGGTACTGATTTACAGTAGGTACACAGTACGACATCGGCCGTAACATTGAAATGACTTCCCATTGGAATGGTTATCGTATGAATGGAAAACATACGGTACTGACTTACAGTACATACACGGTACGACCTACCATATCATTGAAATGGCTTCATCGTCTTTCATCCAATCACAACCCGTAGTAGATCTAATCCACGTTTTTACTCCATTTCAGACCACATGTCATTTCATTGAGTATCATTTCTTTGTTTAACAGTTGTGCATGAGAAGACACGTGAATATGGATACCACTCAAACAAAGAATCTAGTGAATGACACGTGGTCTGAAATTGGAAAATATTATGGAAACATTTCCTTACTTGGGAAATATGTATTAAGGCAGGATATGGTGTCAGCGAACAGTGCTACCATGTCTGATGCCTGCGGCACTTCTGTCTCGTTCCAAGGAGCCACTGGTGGATTACTGAAACAAAATTGAACAATAGATTTTTACCCTATGGCCTCACATTCAAGTGCTTCAGGCATGGCGCCAAAAGGTCCATCGTAGCTTGTGTCAAGAGATGCAATTATCTGTTAGAAGACTAGTCTTGTAACATCGGTGGAGAACCGAGTAAGATATTGCAGTTAACGGGCAACTTGAATAAAACAGAAGGACGATCCCTCTTGTCGTCGTTGCCTCTTTGCACTGTTTTCACAGTCACGACAGGGTATGTCAATCAGAGTATGTAAAGGTCCGACCAGTTCATTTAATTGACGGCAATCTATAGACCAATTGCAGCACGTCGGAATGCAGCTCAATTTGGAGGAGATAAGAGGTTTCAAATTCTCAGGAAGTTGAAATTCTTTTGTTTTGTCCTCCAAATTGAGCTGCTTTGACGTCACATGCAAGGGGTCTATTGAGCTCCTTTGACATCATATGTAAGGGGTCTAT